GCATATAAGAAAACTTAAACAAGAGCTTAAACTTTGAAATTATGTGACAAACAAATTCATTAGAACTTGCACCAATCCTTTTGGTGGCCAGATATCCCTAATTGCCTTTAATAGCAATCATCTTCCTTATGAACTTAATGCCATACAAGTTCACTTAAATATGAATCTAAATTTGTGTTGTGTGATTAACCAATGTTTTTTATTATGCCATTTTGCAACATCCCTGATTTTCTTCAATGTTTTGAGAATGCATCTTACTATCAAGACCAACAAAATTATATCAGTGATTAACTTTAAAATTCTCAAATCTTGTAGTTTAGTAGGCCTCCCAAGAATTTTAAACAGTTGTACGTCCATCTTCTATATGCCCTTTTATTTATCCCGTTAAAGTAGCAACATTTTCTATTTGGAACTTTATTGTAAAAGCATCTGTTGGCTCTCCCAGCAAAATATACCCCATACCCATCATTGTGGAAGTATTTGACTGCTTTTCTTTCCATAAAAATGGAAGCAATTTCTAATATTTCTTCTTTCATTAATTTCTACAATATTATTAGGCTCTTCAATTTTACCAAAAGCATTATTTAGAAGGCTATATGCACAAACTTCCCTCAGGTAAATGTTCCATTCAACACTGTCTAGTTAACTATATCCAGCTGTTCTTTTGCCTATTCAGTAGATGTTAATTCTCTTGAGCAGCTTTAAATGAACTTGAATATAGACACAAATGTGATGTTAGAGTTATGAAGCCACATTCCTTTTCAAATGAATATTTGCTTATTATAGTTTTTCATGTTGCATTTTCATTATTTATCCATTTTCAAATAAAGTCCTAAACTTTTCTCTCAAACGTACACTGTTTTTGATAGCAGGATGACATAACAATGGAAATACACCACTGCTTGCTATTCTGTAGAAGGAAAATCCTAAATTTTAATTTTCTTTTTTTTAAATGGAAGACAAAAACAGAGAAACACCAGGTTTACAAAAACAAAACTGGCTTATCAAGAATTAATTGGAGTTACACAAAACTACGAAGATCTTATGAGTGTGTTGTGACATTATACTTACCCATTATTTACTCTAAATTGAGCTATTTAGTGACAGTCTTGGCTTTACAAAAATGGTCAAAAAAATAGTCATGCTTTATGATGGTTTTTACAAATCCTCTCATTTACTTAATTCTTCGTAAAAAAAGGAACGATTTTAATATTTTAAAATATTCTGATTATTTCAGCTTTCCAAGCTAGCTAAATGCCATATAGTCAGTTTTTTACAGCAATACAGTTTTCAAGCAAATAACTCATTTTCATGAAGATCATGCCAGATGACTGAAAGCCAGGGAGATTAAAAATATCAGTAGACAAAGAAGTGTGACACTAGTAGCAAGTTAGAAAGGAAGAAAATTATCAAGCAACATTTGTAAGGCAATATAGCATGCTGTAGTGATTTCACTGGTATTCCATATATTATAGAATCTTTAGAAAAGCAAATTTTCTTCCCGAGGGATCTTTGGATACAATGCTAATGAAATGAAAATTTCATGATAAAGGTAAAAAATTTCAATCTCAAATAACCCCTGTTGATGAAATTTCCTTGGACAACAAGCTGAAATTGTTGCGAATCCAGTACAGAAGACCATCCTCACTGCATTCTCAAAAATTTCCACATGCAGAGTTGTAACTGAAATAGATGATGATATCTGCCTAGAATTAACTAGAAATCATCATGATGTTACTGTGAATGGTTTCAAAATTTGTATAGAAAAATATGCACACACACACACAAAAAAAAAAAAAAAAAGGCCTGATATGCTTAGGGATGGATAGTTAAGTTTTGAACATTAATTCACATCCATACATGGAAGTTTGTAACACATTTGTCAGCTTGGTTGTGATTTAGTTCAAGTGGACAATTTTGTCTCACTTTTCATAAAGCATATATATAAGTCCACTGAATTTCAAAGTCTTCTCCAAATTGAAGCAACCCCTGGACAGATAATGTCACTTTTCTCTGAAAGAGGTTTTCTTCAGTGGTTACCTAGGCCATTTGAAAAGTGACTACAAGTAGTACCTTAAAACAAATAGCAAATATTTCAAAACATTAAATCATGACTATAGTAAAGCAAGGGAATTACACATAAAGACTGCAAGCAAAACTGTTAACAGAAACAATGGAGGTGGATATGCAGAAAGAAGGGAAACATGCCAAAGTAAAACATAAAATTAGGCAAAGCAACAACCTTATATTTGGCATAGATTTGAATGAAGACTCTGTTGATTTGAAGGGTGAATAGATATCTCTTTATCAGGAGCAAAAAAAAAAAATCTGCTATTTCTTTGCTCCTGATGAAGAGGTACCTGTACCTGTTCATCTTCGAAATCAATAGAGTCTTTATTAAAATCAGCATAAAACACAAGACCATTGCTTTGACTAATTTTATATAGTATATTATTTTTCAAATGATTTTATATTTGTCTTTTGTGCTATGTTGATGTATGTTACCTGATCCAAAATTACCAAGTGATGGTAAAAATTCCCATAAATGGAACTACCCTCCCTTTTATACATTACTGTTACAAATAATCTAGCAGCACATGAATGACATTTGGAAATGAATTAAATTAATAAATTATTTGCATATATTCCGATTTAAGAAATAAAATTATTAATTGATAATGATGTCACTGAAAGATTTCTGTTTCAAAATTCAATTTTATTTAAAAAATAAAACTACTGTTTTTTGCAAGCAAGTCCTATTTAAAAGACCAAATGGCCAGCCGTATGCTATGCTAGAGCTACAATGCAATATGATGCACAGTTTAGCCATGCTTCCTATATAGACATTAACCTTTAATTACTGTGACTTAAATTGTCGCATAACTACTGTGAGCGGTCTCTCAGACCGCTTCTGCTAAAAACAAAAGACGATATTGTTTTACTTTTCTTATTTGAATAATTATTTAATTTCATATATTTAACTTTTTCATGAAGCTATAAAGCAACTTTTATACTTAAATTAGTTCATTAAAATAAAATATATACTATGATAATAATTCCTTCACCTTACATATCTGGAAAGAAGTAAATTTAAAGTTCAATTTTACATTAAAATTTGCGATAAGAATGCTTTAATAAGAATTGTAGAAATTAATTTTTATTTTATTTTATAATTCAAGCTGTATTTTATACATGCGTTTCTAACTACTGCATTGTAGACACAAACCGGTTTCTTTGCATTCTATACATTGTCAAGTTTTTCATTTTTTTTTTTTTTTCTCGTGGATATATTACATGTTCTTTTTTTATCTAATTTTTTTTTAATCTTTGATCGCAATGTTTCCTTCATCATCATTTATTCCAAAAACTCTTCTTATTGTAAGTTTGAGATCTTAGAGAAAAATTATGAAGTTATCCTCCGGTTTACATGAGACTGTACCAACTGAATTGCTAATGAAATCTTTTCGTTTCATTTTCGGAGCCAATGGGATAAGAATGAAATAATATGAATGCATTTATTGCACAGATATCCAAGTTTCTGAAGAATATTGGCATAGGCCAATGTCGGGTTCGACGAGCAGTTGAATAGATTGAACGAAGAATAATATTGTGACTACGAGTTCTAACACCCTTGTTGGGCTCTTGAATAGACTATTTGAATTCATTTTTTCCAATAAAAAAATCTCCTGTAGAAAGAGAACATGGATTTTCATTTTCATCGGCAGATATTTCTGAATTCGAGTCGTGGTCACTTTCAATAATTTCATTGTAGGAACTTTCATCAGAGAACTCTAAATTAGACCAATTTCGAACTATTTATTAAATTTGGTCTTGGGTAAGATATATACAACATTTCCCGCACGCATTTGAAGAAATTTCAAGGATATTTATAAAAAAGTAAAATATGTAACAACAACGAAAAGTGAACTTTATCGGGCTGAAATTTGAATCGTATCTGCTCTGATCGGTCCCGCAGACCGCTAAGGGGGGGGGGATTTTTAAAAAATAAAAGAAGAAATAGAGCTAGCCAAATGCAACTTGGTATGTGACCTTGGACAACTGTTTTAGGAAGGTACTAAGAATGGCAATACTCATTAATTATTCTAAGAGGTGGAAGCATTTAATGGAAAATGTCGCGCAGTCTGAGAGACCGCTCACAGCAGTTAAAGGTTAAATAACATTCTTCCCCCAAGAACTGATCTCCTGGCATTCCAAAGGTTTTTAATTAAAGATAAACATCAGTATCCAAAGTTTCAGAAAATTATGCAACGACTCTCTTCCTACGGCCTAGATCTCTGTCAAGTGTAAGTCCGCATACTGTTTAGTGAACTTTTACATGCTGTGATTATGGACAAAATGGCTCCCCTCGTGAACTTTATAAACTGCAATAAACCAATATATCTGAAATAACCCATGGACACCCACCTCTTTAGCATTATTATTACAATTCATTTTAACATTGTGTTGCCAGTACTAATTATAATTATCTCATTATGTTTATATGTTTATTAATTATGTTTATCTCCTATTTTTGTTGTACCAAATCAGATATTCAATTTATCTTGTGAATCTCAAATTGTATTCCGACTATTTTGTAATCTACTTATGTCCTACATCTTTATAAATACTGGATGCAGGGCGTACTGTGGGATTGCACGATGTACCATAATAGGCAAACTCTAGACCTTTTGGAAAGCTTCAGTCTATGTAAATTCCTATAAAACTTGCAATTCCCCCCCCTTTTTTTTTTAAGAGTTAGTATGGGAAGGCATTACCAGTGACCTATGGTACATTGCTGGTGTCCCCATACTTTTACCTTTACCATAAATGCAAACAACCAAAATAATTTTTTTTTCATATTATTTAATGCTTTAAATGTAAAAAATAACAGTTTAATTTTTGTAAGACAGAATTATTCTGGCTTTTAGTAGATTAATTAGTATGCTGTATAGTAACAACTAGATTATAATAGTTATAACTGCAATACACACAGAACTTACTCGAGTTCTGTACTACCAGTACTAATTCTAAAAACTTGTTTTCTTCTTTGTGATGCCTCCAGAGCAGTCATGAAAACATTACTCTATGGACAATAAAAACAAAAAAGTAGAAAATGTATTAATATATGCCAATTATTTGTCAATAACTAATAATTTAATGCTAAAACTTACAAATAATTTTAAAATTTATTATTAAATAAGAAATTTCTGAAGAGTAAAATTAAAAATTATTTGGAAGTTAACAGTTTTATTTTACAGAGCTCTAAAGTAAATACAATTTGGGCATTAAAAAAGATCAGCAATTTGTTTTCAATTGTATTTTATTGTAGAAAAATCTACAGACATTTAACTAATTTTTGATACATTCACCATGCAAATTAAGGCATGTATCATAACTCTAAACTTCAACTCACTGTCTCTCTACCTAGCTGGCTCTTTGCTGGTGATAAGAAGGCAGATGATTAGCTACCCATGAAGAGATAAATGACACCCCTCCGGTAAAATTGTGGTATGTCAAAGTGAAGTAAAATCTGATAAATAAACCAGTTCACGAACTTAAATGGCAATACTTCATAAAAAAATCTTGGCACTAAATGCAACATACTTCACAGAATTGGCTGCCTAAGACCTCAACCAGTTCCGAACGTTTACCTTGATCTCATCATCACTTGTTAAAGTGCTGGAGAGCAAGAAATTTCTTGAGAAGAAAAAAACAAATGGAAGTCAAATGGAGCTGGGACTGGATTATAAGGAAGATGACAGAATTGTTTCCAGTGAAATGAATCAAGCAGCAGCATTATTACACATGCAGTATGTGGTCATACACTGTCATACACGAACGCAATATCAGAAGTCAGCAGTCCGTGACTTTTACTCTCTATCAGACACCATAATTTCGACAATGTCTCCTGGTAAGCTGTAGCATTAATTGTTGTGCCTTGTTCAATCAAGTCCAATAATGAAATTCCTTGACAGTCCCAAAACAAAGTTTGCATGATTTTTCTTAAAGAAAGAGGTGGCCTTGCTTTTCTTAGGTTTCAGGGAACCAGTATGCCACTAGTCCAGTGACTGTCATTTTGTTTCAGGTGTGTCATGACAAATCCATGTTTTAATGTCAACCCTTTTCAAAAAAATCATTTCCTTCTGTCAGATAATGCTGCAAAAGCTCCAATGTTCCCATGCACTTCTGGTTTTGAATATCTGCTAGTGTTTTTGTTACCCATTTCAAACACAGTTTTTTGTAGTGCAAAAAATTTCACAAGGTCGAACATTTGCATTCAAAAACTTCACAGCAGTTCTTATTTCACAACTGGCAACCTGATCAATTGTTTTAAACATGATTACCAACAAATAGTGACTTCAGATGTTATCATAAACAAACAACAAGGCTAGGCTAATTTGTTTTTAAGTTGAGAGATATAATGAATGGTTGCATGTGTGGCTTTCCTGTTGTCAGATGTGCAGACACTACTTACATTCTGGATCAGCTTAGTATATACTTACCCAAATGCAAAAAGGGATTAACAGCCAATATAATATATTAAAGTAAATATTGAAGAGGTTTATCTACATAGAAAAGCATTTTACATGCAAATTTCTACTGCATATAGAAAACATAAATACAATTAGACTTGCTATCTAATTATTGAACTAGAGAAAGCAAAATTATGTCCAATGATTTTGAATGATTGAATTTATTCATTGAATGGCATGATAAATAGTGATGACATTTGCTGGTCATAACTGTAGAGATAGGTAATAAAGAAACTATTTTATTTAGAAATAAACTTTAAGAAAAATTTAGACTAATTACAATTTTTCAACTGAATCTCAATAATTTTTCTACTAAGCTTGGAATAATATTAAAAATACCTGATGTGGACATTGTATGACTTCCTTGTATGGCCTATTAAATTATATGCATTTCTTGCTGCACTTCATTTAAACTTATTTTCTTGAATTTAATTAGAGATATATTTCTCATTCAATCAATTCAGTTTTCATGTCACAGCAAGGCAAAAATATATAAAAACTTAGCTTCATTAAAAGTTGTAAAATACAGAAAAATCTAAAACACCAAATACAGAATAATTTTTAAAAAAATTAAGAGTTTCTATGCCAAAACAAGCGATTTGGCCAATGAGCAGGAAGACCAAATTTCTGGTGTAAAAAATTGAAAATTAGTTTTGGTCCTATTGGGCAAAAAGACAATGAGACCGGTGCATCAACTGACTTGATTCACTATTCTACTAAAAGTTTGAAGTGTAAACAAGTGGTGGCCTCGTAAGGCTATTCGTAATGCATGCAGATTAACTAAAGACATAAAAACCTTAATCAGAAATAAACAAAATAATTCAGCTACTTTAAAATAAAAAAATGCACAATTTATCAACATTATCAAGAATAAAAATACTGAGTTCACCGAGCTGGGTAACAGGGTGGGAATATACATATACATACACATGTTTGGTGCAGCCAATTGCAACGAAAAAGAGAAATGCACAACTACAAACTATACCAATCTCAAATACAAAATTTCTACTGTACTCGTTTTTGCAATACATACATACATGATATCTGTACATACCCATACGTATGTACGTATGGGTATGTACAGATATCATGAAAAAAAATCTCCTCTGAATCCACTTTAAATTCATTTTTAAATCCATTTTGAAGAAAAGAGTCCTTTCTATCTATATATATGGACGTCACATAAAAAAATCCTTCAAGTGGATTTGAAAGCAGTCAAAATGAATATTTCGGTTGAAATATGACACCTAAAATTTCCTGTGATTATAGTACTTCCTTTACTTGCAAAAAAGTAAAAACAAATGATAATTCTACACTTAAGTATGTAATATGATATTAAAAATTATTTTTATTAATTGCAATATTGATGCATATATATATATATATATATATATATATATATATATATATATTTTTCATAAAAATAAAATAATGATTTAAATTATTAAGTACATTTATTGTTGTAACCCAACTGGGTTAGTGGTTAATGACTCTGACTGCTGTACTGAAGAGCTCGGCTTCGAATACCGGAGAAGGCACAGATGTTTGTAAATGTATAGTGTCTGTGCGGCATGGAGACACTCTAAATATGCAGTGAGCCGAAAGCCTTCTCAGAAGAGGGGTGGGAGACTCTCGGACCTGTCTCCCTGGTGTGCTCTCTTACAAATTGAAGGTGGAAATGAGCATAGTTATACTGTAATCTGTTTGCTACCCAAGGCGATTGCTAATGACAGACTCAACTTTGCCTCCTTGCCACAATGAATTTCATAGGCTTGCTCTAATATTAGACAAGTGAGATTAGTCACAACGATACCAACATTTATTGATTTCAGACCACTCAGTTTGCTAAGCAATTAGAATTATAATTTGAAAAATAAATTAAATATGATATTCCGAATCAAAGGATAGCATTCTTGAAAACTAATTATTTACCATGCTGCATGGAATTTAGAAATCTCAGGTCTCTTGGAATGGCAGCAATAGTCAGGCCATGTGAAAGATAAATAAATGCCTTAGAAACATAATACAGATATAAAAAAATTACAAAAATTCCACTATAAATGCTTCTATTTTATAGATGTATTTATTAACAAAATATAGTAAACCTAATGCTTTGTGGCATACAAACAATTTTTCTGTATGCAACATACATAACATATGGAGTAATAAATACCTTTAATTTATTAGATTAAATAAAATGTGTAAATAAATTATTAATTAAAGACGTTGTGAACTATATCAATTTGATAAACAAAATTTTTAAAAAAGAAAGACTCAAAATTATAGAGAAAATATGACAGGAAAAAATTAATGCCAGTTTAAAGAATGGTCGCCTCACATGCTATCATTAAGAACTTCTACATTGATTTGATATATGTGTTCTGACTGATATTACATTAGTTTAAAGTGAAACAAAAATTAGCTAAAGAAAGAAAAACTTTTAAGTTGCAGTGTGTTAGTAAAACGAGCTAAAAAGCAAAATAATTTTATTAGTTATCCCATTGTTCTTTGTAACAGTATTTAAACACAAAATTACAGGATTTCTAATAATGAATTAATTCTAATCAAAATTTTCAAAGAGAAATTTAAGTGAACTAATTGTGATAATTACTACAGATGTCATAACCACATTAACACTTCATTTGCCACTTAAAATTCTGTTACAGCATAATACTATTTTTTATGGGTACTTTTTACATTTTAGTGCATTTTACATATATCACATCACTTAAAAAGTTTTTATATATTTTATTTAAGGCCCAACAGTATCTGAGTGCTTAAGTAGCACTCAGCTACTGTTGGTAGTTTGACCTGAGTTTGATCCCAAGCAAACAAGCTAGCTGCATGGACATTTTCATGGCTTTTTCCATGTGTAACGTGGCTATGAACCAGTTTCCCTTTGAGTACTTTGATAAACCAAACCAAACCCTATATTTTATTTTGAAATTTTTATGTTAGACATAAAAAATAAAAAATATCACTAAAACAAATCCATAAACATAAAAGAAATATTTCCCTCTACTTAGCAGAGCAATGATATATGTGTTTATAGAATTTTCAAAATTCACTTAATTAATATTTTTTTTTTTTTACTATTCTAGTCACAGAAAAGGGCAAAGGATTGATTTTCTGATCTGCAGAAATTTGAAGATGTTATAATTTTTTTTTTTTTTTTTTTTTACCCATCTAGGAATTTTAATTTATATAATATAATCCAAAAAATGAAAAATCATCATACCTCCAATTTATATTAAAAATTCAGAATTAAATTGAAGATTATTTATTTTACCTATCTTTTTCTAAAGATCAAAATTTTACTCTATGATGAGTAAATCAAATTAAACTGCCTCCTCATTTTAAGTTTAAATACAGAGAAAAATCTATTAAAAAACACATCAGCAAAATAGCAAATTTTGAAAAAAATGAGATATTATCATTGCAAATGCATATGTATATAAAATTTCAAGAAAAATACCCAAGGGTTACCAAGTGTGTCAAAATTTAGCTTTCAGATTCAATCCAAATAAAAACAGAACACAACCCAAATGAA